TGCTGTGGATTTGAGGAAACCAAACAAACTCCCACACTCGCTGTATTAAGGTTTTATTTTAAAGAAATACTAACTAGGTAATGAAATGGAGTTAAATTTTAAAATAATGCCAAGCTGAAGTGGACTGGATTAGAATTCCTCTGGACCGTAACAAATTGGAGTATTGTTCAGTAATCCAAGAAGATAAAATTCAATGACAAAGTGCAAAGTACTACATATAAGAAGGAAAAATCAAATGCAAAGTAAGGAATTGGCTAGGTGGTAGTACTGTAGGAAAGGATCTGTGGCTCGCAGTGGGCTCACATTGAATGTAAACTAACACTTTGTTGCAATTGCATAGGGAGATATCTTTCTGGGTTTTATTATATGCATTTCATGTAAGAAAATGGAAGTAACTGTCCCATTCTACTCAGCTTTGGTGAGGCCTCAGTTTGAGTAGTGTGTCCAGTATTGGATGCCACATGTCAAAAAGATGTGGACAAATTTGAGCCAATACAGAGGATCGCTAGAAAAACGATGGGATTAGAAAACTTGACCTACGGAGGAAGGATTTTTTTTTTTTAAAAAGAGGGGGATATTTACCTTGAGCAAAGATTGAAGGGGGATCTGGTAAACAGTCCTTAATATTTCTGAGGGATGTTATAAAGAGGGTAACAATTTCTTTTCCCAGTTTACTGAAGATAGGACAGGAAGTAATGGGCTTAATCTGGAGGAAGGAAAATTGAGGTTAGATATTAGGACATGTTTAAAAGATGAGTACTCAAGAGATGTTACCAGTCCTATTGCATGTAAACGATGGGTCTCTAGTTACGTATTAGGGGTGCATTTCTTTCAATAGTCGCACTGCCACATCAATTGATAGAACTTCAAGGGAATCAGAAGAGTCGCCATTTTAGTCTGTAATTTGAAAAACAAGTAGTCCTGTAGCACCTTAGATTTACTAATCTGTAAGGTGCCACAGGATGGCTACTTGTTGTTCAAAGGAATGTTGACTTTTTAAAATTGATATTTTCAGCTTAAGTGAACACTTGCGGAAAATAAGTTGACTTTTACCTGAAGGCACTGTTGTTCATCTTTTATATTGGCAGAATGATTTCTTCTAATCAATTTCTTTTTTAGGAAATGTTAGTTAAATACTTGTGCATGGTGTCTTACTAATTAGAAAAAATCTACTAATACTACCTATATTTTAGTGACATTGACTTATTTTGTGTGTATTTCATGAAAAAGTACCTTGTCAATACTTCTGGCTACAGAGGCAGTGGTTGATCATGCAACAATTACTTTAATTGTGATATTGGTCAAAGAGAATTTGCTAACAGCTAGTTATTAAATGTTTTAAAGAAATAGTACTGTTAAATTCAGTTGTCTAGTATCTTCCAAAGAAAACACCCTCTGTCCAGGGAACATACATCACACATTCCTTTCTCTTCAGCTGTTGTTTGTAGTGTGAAGGATCAGCAGTGTCATGAAACAGATATGGCGTACCTTTTTTAGATTTAGTGATTAGTATTTTTGTAAAACATAGTGTTATGCTAAGTGGTAAAAGAGCACATATTGTGATATGGTAAAACTTGTCACAGGGCAAAAGTGTCCAGGTCTTTCAGCTGCTAGGGGAATTAACAAATGGTTTTTTTTCTCTCTCTCTCTCTCTCTCTCTGTCTCTCTCTCTCTCAAGATTGCTTTTTGACACAGTACAGAGGTGGCCAACCAGTTAGATGAAGAACCAAAATAGCTGTGGCTAGAGTGCAAAGAGCCATGTATTATATAAAAATATATCTATCTAGATAGATATAGTACACAAAATGTAGTGATAAAAATATTACAGGACATTTTGGACAAAAACCAATAAAGTCACTAGTCACTTAAATTCACAGCCAGTCCATAGATCTTCAGAGAACTTGACAAGGAACAAACATCAAATTAAAAAAAAAGCATCCCCACCATGTATGTTCAATTTAACAGTACTGCCCTATTATGTCCTGTGAGTTTTTTAAAATTAAACTGAACTGAGAAGTAAATTGGCACAATTTGAAGTGCTTGTTTCATTCTAGCTTGTTGATCTCTGGTATGGTTTCCTCTTATTTTTTACTTATGAAGATTATAGCTTTTTTTATGGTTTTAAAAATTCAGGTCTGTCGCAGATTGCAAATATGAGAGGTTCAAAAACAATAAGGGAGAGACTCATATCTCAGAATAATTGTTTCAGCCTGGCAAACAATAGCCTTTGAATTTTCTTTAAAGAAACTGTGTAAACCAGGTACATGCTGATTCTTTTTTAGCCCTGGAATTTAAATACAGTAAACTTCCGATAATCCGGCACCTTTAGGACCCAGGGGGTGCCGGATTATCAGATATGCCAGACTATCAGAAGGGGGAGCCACCCCAGACCCCTCATAGCCCCCCGTCCGAAAGTCTGGCTCTGCCCCAGGCATCCCCGATTTAGCCGCTGCTGGTCAGTTTCAGCAGCAGCTGAATGGAGGAAGCCAGGGGCAGAGCAGCTGGGGTGCTGCTGGGTTGGTCCTGCAGCGCCGAGGGGCAGCGCTATGGGACCAACCCGGCAGCATCCCAAAGGGGGAGCCACCCCAGACCCCTCATAGCCCCCCGTCCGAAAGTCTGGCTCTGCCCCAGGCATCCCCGATTTAGCCGCTGCTGGTCAGTTTCAGCAGCAGCTGAATGGAGGAAGCCAGGGGCAGAGCAGCTGGGGTGCTGCTGGGTTGGTCCTGCAGCGCCGAGGGGCAGCGCTATGGGACCAACCCGGCAGCATCCCAGCTGTTCTGCCCCAGGTGTCCCAGAGTCAGCCACTTCTGAAACTGATCAGTGGCTGACTCCGGGAAGCCTGGGGCAGAGCTGCTCTGGGGTGTTTCTGGGTTGGTCTTGTAGCGCTGGCCCTCGGCGCTGCGGGACCAACCCGGCAGCACTCCGGCTGCTCTGCTGCAGGCGTCCCCAAATCAGCCGCTGCTGAAACTGACCAGCAGCGACTGAATCAAGGACACTTGGGGC